GCTGCAAGGGGCCCGATCTTTGCTGTGGCAGCGCATCCCCAGCTCCTTCTCTGCCATCTGCAACAAGCTGAGCCAGGGCTCCACACACCCCAGTACAGCTCCTTGCATCCTCCCAGCTGCAAGCAGTGCAGGCTCCATGGTAATGGTAGGGGCCTTCCAGAGTCTGGGCCGGTTGTGGCAGGCAGCCAGAAGGCTGCAAGTATCTGTACCCAGGGTCCATAGAGCCCCAGCCTGGCTTGCTGCTGGCGGACAGTGGGGAAAGGGCCAGGGCTGTGCTGCCACAACACAGCTCAGTCCCCTCGTGGCTCCCCTGCTGTCCACTCCTGCCACATCGTACAAGTTGAGGTTGCAGGTGTTTTGGCACTTGCCCAAAAACACTGCTGACCCTTAATCTAGAAGACAGACATAGAGAGGCAAAATTAACCTATTCTTTTTGAAATACTGACATTACATTGAAAATGTCTAAAATGTTCACAATGCTTTTTGAACACACTCATACCACAAGATGAATAACTCCAGCTGACTATACTGTACCTGAAAAGGTGGGCTTCCTATTAATTATTATGTTCTGTTTTGAAATGAATGTTTCAAGAATGTTTTTAAAGTTTCATATTTTATAAATTATAAATAATTTTTAATTTACAAGACTGTACTTAAAACAGTTTTCAAATATCACACAATCTGCCCTTAACAGAAGTAAATCTAGGAAAAAAACAAAAAAAATACATTAAGCTAAAGGGAGCAGTAAAAATTCAAATAATTGGATTTTGTTAATCTGTGAGGCACAGGCTTAGTACTACATTTAATTTTGATAAATGGAAGGAAGATTATTTCAGACAGGTTACTAGGAAGTCATATCTGCTCTCTCAAATCATATAGGAAAGTTAAAAGTTAAATATCTGAAGACCATTTAATTTCCAGTGATGTAAAGCTATCCTGAAAACATTTGATCAATATAAAAATATACAACAACTTATGTGGGCCTCAGCCCAATACAAGACATTGAAAACAACCTACATTCAACTACCATAAAGCCCTCTTTCTTAAAGCTGAATAAATTCACTGGATTACAAATTCTGTGTCTGAGAAACTGAAGACAGCACAAACTTTAAATATTTCATTTTAATTATATAAAGATTAACTATTCATAGATATGAATTTATCTTTCTTTAAATTATATATGTTCTCAAAACTGCAATCATACTGGAGTACTGGCATTCTAGGAGCTGCAGCTGTTTATGGTTTATGGCTTGTGGTTCTCATAAGGGTAAACAGAAACATTTTCACTTCAATCAGAATTTAAATTCTTCAGTATATTCTGTTCACATTAAGACTAGTATCTTAAACACTACATCATTTTCAACTTCTCATGTTTAAACTATACTTGCTGTTTCAAAAATGGTTTTAAAATAGGCTTGTAAGGATAGCGCAGGCTGGTTTGTAAAAAGGGCGTCATTTAAAAAAAAACTTCTAAAATGCAAAGTACTATGGGAAGTAAAAAAGCCCACCTGCAGATACATTAAGTATCTATAACACATGTGGCCCAAGGCCAAACTCTCTTGAATATCCCTTGATTCATGAATTACATAATTCTTTCACTCCTAGGTCAGATGCTGCACTTTTCAAATGATTTGGTTTGAAGCAGAAAGAAAACTATTTTAAGAGTTCTGCTACTTCTGTCTCTAGACAAGAGTAAAAAAAATGCACAGTCGGAATCAGAAGTATACAAACAATTCTACATTGTTAATATAATTATGATAAATTGAACTATAACTGAAAGCATTCAGTATGTTCACTATAGTTACTGCCCTTGCACAATAATCTCTGTGATAGATTGACAAAAGAGCATAATGTTAATTCTGTTTAAAACTGGAAGCTTTAAGCTGCCTGCATTTTGGGGGGTCAGGCTATATATATATATATATATATATATATATGCAAGTAAGTACAGTCAAACTTGTTTGGTGACTGAAATATACCAACTCTGATGTTTTCCCATGCAGATTTCTAAGTTCTCTGGAGAAGAGTTCTTAGCTGATTCACTGCCTAAATCAAAAGGATCTTCCAAATAATTAAGAAAATGCATTTTTTTCTACTCTTGAATGCATCTTCTATAAGTGACAGAACTGAAAGAATTATTTTGTCACACAGACAAGGTACCACCATCTTTCATTTACTGAATAATTAGCTAGTTGTTCCAAGCTACACAACGTGCTACAAGTCCAGCAAAAGAATATTTACCTAAGTTATGGAACACACTTTCTACAAACTTAATTGAGATATCCAGTGAAATAACTTAAAATAAAAATATTTCCTTCTGCTATACAGGAGTTAATCTTTCAAAAGGTTCCTGTTTATGTATTGTAATATAATTGTGTTTCAAAACGAAAATTCTTTCTAATATTGATGCATCTCACTACTTTTGCCATGATGTTCACATAATCCAGCTCTACTTTTTCATGCTGTAATGTGGTTACCCATGTACTTTAACCCTATATTACCTACTAAAGTAAAATATAAATAAAAGAAATTAAAGCTTGAGTACAAGCTGTGATGAATGAACACATACCCCCCACGCATGCACACACACTATCCATTTAGTATGGGGTACTGCAGTGCATAGCATGCCTCCCTGTAATCACTAAACTTCCAAGGTAAATTAAAGGGACATGGCAAAGCCCCTTACCTTGAGTTTTAACTTCTCTATTACCTCTTCTAGGGAACAGGCTCTGCCTGTAAAATAATTATTGTATTAGAACTACAACACTTTGTATCTGCTTTCATATAATACTTGCGATCCATGTATGCTCATGGAATCAGGAAATACTTGTAATCAGAAAAGAGAAAATTCATTGTATGAAAAAGCAATCATTGTAGGAAAGTTTAAACGCTGAGCTTCCACTTCTAAGCAACATAACTCTTATGCCCCCCCTCCTTTTATGAGAACAGAGACCTCATATTTTTTTAACTTTATTACTTGATGCCTGTGAGAAGATGGATGCTTCAAAAAAGAAAAACACACACAAGTATTACATTGATTTAGTGTATTTTAAGACACTGCTTTTTGTAAGTGTAACTACAGACATCTTACAAAATACACAGATTTGTGTTCATGCAACATTTCCTCCACTTAAAGGAAAGGAACAGTTAAATGATTTTGAGGAAGTACTGTCACCAAAATGCCCACAGAAAGCATCATATTTATTATCCTCAGTGACTCCATATAAAACTTTACAGGGAAGATTTTTCTAACTGCCAGTTTTGCAAGCTCTAAAACAGAATCTGAAAATCTGGCTGTATTGTTTGCCATGGCACACCTCACTATCAAAACTTAGCAATGAACTCAATGCTTAGAACAGAACCCAGCTTTCTTTTCTGTAAATGTCTTGTCCGTTGTATTTAAAAACAAAAACACCAAAACTCATTTTTGTCAGTAAAGAAAAAGTACAAAGACACCCCCCACACCCCCTCCCAAAGATCAGATAAAGAGACTATTTTCAAATGGGTTGCCTAGTCCGATTGTGCTTTAACAATAACAACAGTATAAATCTTATGCATTAAACCCAGTTCCCATATATTTTGTTTATCTACCCTGCCTGAAAGAGTAGGAAGCCAAAAGTTTGTATATGACTGGGGAGTATTTTTTGTGCAAAAGTTTGTATATGACTGGGGAGTATTTTTTGTGCAACTGCAACTGTCACCCTTGTAAGTATGTGTCATCGTGCACAGTAAAGGACATTTTAATTGTAGGCAATTATAGGTGTTGACCAAGTTCGATAAACTCTAAATAACCGGGCCAAAATGACCATAGCAAGGGGAATGTTAAGATAATGCAGTGAGAGAAGGTATTTCCTTAATTCAGGCTGCCCAGCTTGCACATCACTTCAGCAGAGTAAATGGGTTGTTCAAAATCCACTGCAGTACACCTGAAACCTTCTCTGAGATACCTATTTTTTCCAAACCAGCTTGACACCTGTTTGATTTCCTCTGTCAAGCAGAGAAAAGTTAACAACACATGCAAATTTACAGTTTTCAGCATAGCAGCAAAAGAACACCGATGGCTTGCACCAGGTAGAAGCCAAGCCCAGAAATCTGATACACTCCTGTAGTGTCTAATTATAGTGTCCTTTTATTAACTGTTTCTGGCTGTATGCAGCATTCAACAATATGACAACCGCAGCTTAGGGAAATGTGTTTCAAATGACCAGATTCTGCAACTTTCATTACGCATGAGTTGTGAGGAATCCCACTGAAATGTAGATTCTTCTGGTATGACTAACGGTCAACAGTTTCCTTGCTGTCATTTCCCATATGGATATGTTTAGCCTTAGAAACCCTTAGTTAAGTATTGCCCTGATACCACACAGAAGCCCACTGACTTCTGTGGAAGTGCTGGGCATCGACTTAGACCAGGGTACAAGCTGACGACAGCCATCCTCCATCTAATTCTTCTCGGTCCTTTCCAAAATAGATTTTTTTTTTTTAAATCACGGGCTCAAGTGACTCGCAGAAGCACTCAGTACCCCAAGGCAGCCTCGGATTACCTAGCAGTAATGTTTTAAGGCTCCTGTGTGCTTGTCATACCCGTTGTCTTAGCTGACCCACAGGGCATCTCCATTGTTTCAGGGGGCCTGAAGCACAGCTACTGTCTACTCAAGGGCATCATGAATGGTCCATAAGGCCTTTTCATGAAGTGTTTCGTAGGGAGGGAGTATGCAGTGCTCAGCAAGATGCCACCCGCGGCTTAGGGAGATGCGTTGCAAGTGCCCGCATGCCTAGCACCAGCTCGCTTGAACCCAAAGTGCAACCGCGGGTTGGGGAGAGGGCCGGGGCAGCATGAGGGCGGCGCTGCCCCCAGCCGCGCTCGGCAGACAGGAGCAAGGCGGGGGGGAAGACAGGGAGCGCAGGAGAGCCCCGGCCTGCCTTCCCCGTTTCGCCCCGAGCACCCAACTTGTGGGCGCGGCGGCAGGGACAGTCCCCCATGCCCGGGTGGGCCGTACCTGCTTGTCAAGCGCGGGGTCCCGGGCGCTGGCGGCGGCGGCGGCCTTGGGGGCGGGCGCCCGCTCGCAGCTGCATCCCTCCAGCAGGTACATGCCGGCGGGCCGCGCGCTCTGCTCGCCCTCGAAGTAGAAGAGCAGGTTCTGGTAGAGCGCGAACCACTTCTCGTGCCAGCGGCTCGTCTCCGCCGTCTTCTTGCTGAGGAAGCCGCGCTTGGCGCCCTCCTTGCGGGCCAGCGCCGCCAGGAACAGCGCGTGCCCCTCGTTGCAGCGCACGCTCTTCTGCATCGTGCCCCCGG